GCCCGCGGCGCGGCGCAGAAGAAGCCGAGACAACCACCCCTTAAGTTTCGGCTATGACCGACTCCATTAAGTGAGTTTAGTGTCGGATTAACAACCTCAGCTCGATGCAACTCACTGATATTGTTTGTTCCGATTTGAGATCGCGGGGTGGCGCTAACGGATGCTAATCGCTAATTCTTCATCGAAAATTTTTCTGACGCTAATTAGCAGTTTTCCTGTTATGCACATTTAAATGTTGTTTTATTGATAGAAAAGTGCTTTAATCATTTAAGAGAATCATTTTATTTTAAGATGTTGCTTCCCATTTTCTTATTCATTATTATTATTTTTCTTTTTACTATCATTTATTATTGAAAATTGCATTTTCTTAAATTTATTAATTTTTTATCAAAAAAAATTATGAAGGACTTATAAAATTCAAACAAACAAAGTTTTAACAGTTTAAATTATCTTATAATTAATTTTATTTTATCTAATTTATTTATGCTTAATATATTTTATTTGATTAGATGAAATATATTAATGTTTACTATTTTATTTTAATTTCATATTTTTCTTCTTTTTATTCTAAGTTTAGTTTATTTTTTATTTTTGTGTTTTTTATTCCAATTTTAATAAATTTTATAAGTTTCTTATTACTTTATGAATTTATTAAGGGATATGCCACATAAGCCTCCCTTTTCACGCGAGACCCGCTCTATCTCATCCACTTATCCTCATGCCAGCTTCATATGGGTTGATCAATCAACACCGATGATTAGCTAAAATATGGGATACACGACTTGTCATATTGCTCCTGTTCAATGCAATCAAAACTACTCGATTGTATTACAACAAGATGGGAAGGTGAACCAAAATTGTTTAATGAAATTGGAGTAATTTGAACAGTCAATGCAATTAAATTCATATTTAATTATATAAAAGCCATCATAGATCTAAATCCCGGAGATCTAATGGCGAAGATCAAACTATCTATAGACATCTTTTACAAAGTCCCAAAACTAAAGCACTATTTATAAATTTCAAGTAAACCTCAATGCAGAGGTGATTGGTACATCTGACTTGTCTGCAGTGATCGTTGTAAGATCAAAAATTGTCCTCCTACTCCAATTATAAGCTCATATACCCCTTTCCAAGAATCTTATCGAGATGTAAGTCAAGTGGATTGAATTGTGGGCAATAGGGGTTAGGCTACTGAGAATTTGATGTAGGAATGGGTTTGTGAACTCACTGAAGATTATGAGTGCTTCAAAGAAGGAAATAAAGGTGTGAAGAATGTGGTGAAATAGTCTATGAAAATGAGATGTGGTTCGGTAATTCAGGAGGCTAGAGAGCTTTAAAGGGAAGCTATAAAGGTTGGGTACTTTTAAGGTCAAGGTATGATGATACATAAAAAAATATATGCATTTTTAGACCCATATTTTATACTCATTTTTTATGATATTGCACTTTAATGGAAGAAATTTTTTTTATATTTTATTGCAGGTTGTTGATTTTGAGGACTTGGAGCAAAAAAGAAGCAAAAATGATAAAATTTGGAGTCAAAATAGAAAAATTAAAAAATTTGTCAGCGCCAACGGCGTTGTTTGACAGAGAATAATGAATTAAATAACTGAGCACTGGCGCCAACGACGCTTATGTCGGTGGAAGCCCTTTGGATGCTTTTTGAAGAGTTTTTGGATGCACCTATTGGAGAACCGACGTTGGCTCTATTTAGGGCTGAAATTTGATCAAACCCCCCCTCCCCCGCACCATTTCAACTTCTTCCACTCATTTCAATTTTCCTCTTCACACACCTACATTCCAAGTCATTCCACACCATTAATTAGTTATTGTTTTTATAGTTTTGAGTGTTTGTGGTGAGTTTAAGTGTGAATTCTTCTCTAAGAAGTGTTGGAGAGGAAAAGAAGTGAGAGATTTCATCTTCGTACATTTCCTAAGAGAGGCTACAAAGGGTTTACTTTGAGAAAGAATTTCAGGTAAGTGTTGTTTGTTTATTATTGTTTTATGAACTTTCTTTTATATATAAAATTTGTGTTTTGTTGTATCTTTCTCATGAAGTCTTAGTAGATTCCCTTATCTTTCTTCCTAATCTGAGATATAGTGAAATGAAGAGATAATGTGGATGTGTCAATATTAAAATTTAAAATAAATTATGATGATTTTTCAACTATGATGTTTAAAATAAATTATGATGATTTTTCAACTCCGCTCTTAATTTACTTTTCGATCCGACCAATTGACTTATTAAAATATGATGTGAAACATATGATCTGGGAAATTGAGTATGAATTCTACAACAGACTGATAATTACATTTAAGTCCATGAATGAGTATTTTGTTCATGGAATTAAGTGCAAATAAATAAATGAATATACTTTGTCAGGTGTAGAATTGGAAATTTTTAGAGTGACAGACTAAAAATCCCCAATTCAATCTTAGTGTTTAAAAACTAAAGTGAGAGTTTGCCTTCAGGGGTAGGGAAGTGGGAGCTCTGGAGTATCTGGAGTATGAGTCAATATCCTCCTAGCCTAGCCACGAGTTTAGGGACTAAACCTAAGATTAACCAATGATTTTCTATCAATGATTTTTAACCAATGATTTTCTATAACACTGAATCAGGGTAGAGAATTAAAATTGCTCCTATTTTACCCAATACATATCTAAACTATTTATCTCATCTCATTTCACCAAAAACTCACTGTAGTAGGAATGTTGCTTTTGCATATTAGAAAACTTCATCACATAAACATAGTTTAGTGGTTATTAATTTTAAAACCTGCTTTTAAATTCTGATAGTAGTAAATAATTTAGCTTTGATAGTAGCTTTGATAGTAATAGTATCTTAAACATTCAAAATTAGTGACAGTAATTTCGTTTGATTTCTATAAATTTCCTAGTTAATTTATCATTTCAAATTTAAACCTTCCTCGTGGGAACGATATTTGAGACTTAAACAGAAAATCTTATATACTTGTTAACGATATATATACTTGCGTAGAGTTACAATCTTAAGAGCTTAATGTAATTATTATTAAAATGCCACATCAATTTTTTGTCACCATTATAAAGCGGAGTCAACTTTATAAGTTTTATACAACTATATTCAACTGGGATCATATGAGCAAGTCAAAATTGAGATCCGAGATGGGACATTTATAAGGAGAGGTAGGGGCTTTTTGAACAAGTATTTTGTACCAAAGATACACCAATAATTGGTGCTAAGGTGGCAACCAACCAACGATGAACATAGATGGCCGATAGTAAGCTTCCATGTAGGATTGATCAACCTTGACGGGCTACTAGTGGGAAATGGACATGTGGAAGAGGTAGGGAAAAACATGGAAGTTGCTAGCTTTCTATATTGAACTACAGATGATTGAGCTAACGATGATGTATGGAGCTCGAGAAGGATCCAATAGCAACGACTGAAACTTGAGTTTCGAGGAGTTTAATGTTAACAAGCTTGAGCAAAATTTTGATTAATTTTAGAATGTATGTGATTGTTAATTTGGGTAACTATATATGTTGGCTTTAGATGAAGGAATTTAAATAAGGTTTAAAGATTTATTTATATTGGATTTGGAATTGATTTAATGTAAGCTTTGGGATAGGACCTAATGTTGATTTATACATATAATTCTAAATATAATTAATGATTGTATGATGTAGGTTTAGATGAAGGAATTTGAATTAAATTTCAAGTTGGTTTTGGATAGAGTTTAAATATGAGCTTATATGGTTTTGAAATGATATTGAGTTTCGAATGTAAATATGGTTTGAATGAAGTTTAATTATAAGATTTAAATGAAAGTAGAAAAGTATTCTAGCATTAATTTTGATGTAAACATACTTTGCATTTAATTTGATGTAATTAAAATTAAATTTGAAAGTAAAATTTGGATTTAAATGTTGGTTTGATTTAGTAGTTTTAAGTGTAAAATTTATAAATGAATTTATATAATTTTAGGGTTGATATTTTGACTTTTGTAAATTTAAGGTTATGTTTGATGTAGACACATAAAATTATTTAATGTTTGAATTTTTTGACTTTAAGAAAGTAATTTTAAGTTGTTTTAAGATTTAAAGTGGTTGAATTTAACTTATGTTAAGATTTAATTTTTTTAAAAATTTATGTTTAATCTATGCTTAATTTTGAACTTGATTTTACATTTTATTTTGATTTATATTATAACTTAATTTTTACGAAATTTGATTATATTAATTTTTAAAATTTTTGTGACTTTTGACTTCATTTTGATTAATTTAGTTTTGATTTTTAATTATATTTAATTTCTTTTAAAATTTGTTCAATCATGGTTCAAAATGAACACTAAATCAAATATGTTCCCTTCTAAACCAATGAATGATGTGAATAGAATAGTTCAAAATAGGTCCCATAAGGTCAAAACGACACTAAGTCTCGAACTCAAGTCTCTATGCCCAATAAATCACCTGAATTTATGTCCAAAACCTTATGGTGAACTCAAAATTTAACTTTGATATCCTGACCAGAATCAAACTCAACATCAAATCAAGGGTTAAAAATTAAAGCTAAACATATATCAAATCAAAGGGAGTAAGGATTTGATTTTTGTTCCTAATTTAGATCTCAACCATTCACTAATTCTCTGCGGTAGTCTCTGAAGAAATCATAACTTATGATTTTATAAGGTTATACCAAACTCTCTAAAGGAATAGAGAAAGAGGCAAGACCTCACAAAAAATGAACAAATTCAATTATGTTAATGTTTAATTCATTCAATCTTCGACATTTTCAATTTTTTCAGCTTGTTAATTTATTAATTTAAATAAATAAAATTGAGTCTTTATCAAATCGAGTTTCAGCATGTCATTGAGCAAAATTTTTTCTGTGCGGGCTCCTGACGTAGCTTTACGTGCGGCGCAGAGTATTCCTGAGTTATTTTTAGATTATTTATGGGTTATTTTCAACCATCCCGAAATAACCCAGAAATAACCCGCAGTCTTTATTTTTGGGTTATTTCTGGGTTATTGAAAATAACTCATAAATAACTTGAAAATAAACTCAGGAATATCCTGCGACGCACGTAGAGATACGTCAGGTGTCCGGACAGAAAATGTGCGCGTCATTGAGTGTAGAGGTTCATTTAAACTCCTCTTCCAAAAATAAAAAAAAATTAAAATAGAAAAAACCCTCTTCACCTATAAAATTGGACGGCGGCGGAGCGGCGGAGCGGCGGGCGGGCGGCGGTCAGTGCGGCGGGAGGGCGGTGGCTGATGCCGTCGCCGGCGGCTGCAGTCGTTGGGTGGCCTCGATGGTAATACTTTTTATTGAATTTGAACGCGCTCTTATCACTCTGTGAAGCTATCGCAAATGAGAAGGTTTCCGCAACTTCGCCCCCTCTCCAGTCGCGCTCTCCAGTCCCGATGTTCTTCTCAATCCTCGTCGACTTCCGAGATCATCAAAGACTCGGGAACTGATGCCGAAGCCATCGCCCGAGAGATCTCCAGCATCCTCGCCTGCGCGGGTAACTGGAGCCTCCTCATCACTTGCTCCGACATCCCCCGTCGAATTACTCCAGAAGCTCTCTTCGCCGTCCTTCGGCGTCCGATTAACTCGATCGATGCCAGGCGTCTTCTAGATTTCTTTGCTTGGGCAGATTCCCGAATGGTTCGTCCACCGACTCTGGACTCCTTCTCCATACTCGCTGTTCATCTCTGTAACTCCGGATTCTTCGGCCCTGCTAACGGCCTCCTTGATCGGATGATTAGAATTTACACGTCTCCTTCTTCTGTCCTGGATTCTCTGAGGGACAGCCTCATTAGCATCGAAGGATCGAATAAGAAGGTTTTTGATGTGCTGATTGATACTTATAAGATAAATGGTTTGCTTAAAGAAGCAACTGAAGTTGTTTTATTGATGAATGAAGGCAGCATGATGCCTAGTTTGAGGTGCTACAATGGGCTTTTGAAAGAGCTCCTAAGGGCCAATCTCATGAATTTGTTCTGGCAGGTGCATGATTTCATGGTGAGAAAGCAAGTTGATCAGGATGTTTACACGTTTTCTACCTTGATTAGTGCATATTTCAAGGTTGGAGATGTACTTTCCGCAAAGAGAGTGATTGGGGAGATGAAAGAGAGAGGCTGTGATCCTAATACAGTGATATATAACACTCTCATTGGAGGGCTTTGCAGGAGTGGTAACTCTAAGGAAGGAAGATTATTTTTTGATGAGATGTCGTTCCAAGAGATGAAACCTGAAATTACTGTGTACAATTCTTTGATTGATGGGTTTATGAGGGAAGATAATGTGGACGAGGCTTTTAAAATAAGGGATGTTATGGTGGCTTCCGGCCTCCAGCCAAACCTGATTACTTACAACAACTTCATTCGTGGATTATGCAAGCTATGTAAAATGGATGAGGCTCATGAGCTCTTGAAAGAGATGATTCGAGCTGGTTGGAATCCAGATGCAATGACTTATAATTTCATTATTGAGGGACATTTCCGTGAGAACAAATCAAAATCTGCATTTCAGGTGTTCGTTGATATGAAAACTAGTAGTGTGTCTCCTAATCTGTATACTTACAGCTTGATGATAAATGGTTTGTGTCGTTGCAGAGAGCTGAAGAAGGCAGCTAGTTTGCTGGAAGAGATGATCTCAACAGGCCTAGAGCCAAATGCCATTGTTTACTCTCCACTTATTTCTGGTCTGTGCAGAGAAGGCAGAGAGGAAGATGCTTGCATGATATTCAACAGTATGAAGGATAGAAATGTTCTTCCTGATGCCCACTGCTATAATTCTCTCATGAATGGTCTATCCAAGGCTGGGAAGATGGAAGAAGCTAAGCACTATTTTGCCCAAATGAGGGACAGGGGGATTTCACCAAATTTATTCACATATGCATCTCTCATCCATGGCTATAGTAAAGGTGGAGAAATGTCGGAAGCTGATTTTTACTTCAAAGAGATGCTTACTCGAGGAATAAAGCCGAATGATGTTATATATACGACCCTCATTGATGGCCACTGCAAAGCTGGCAATATTCCGAAGGCCTTATCAACATTTCACTTTATGCTGGAAAGTGGGCTGCTTCCTGATTTGCAAACATATAGTGTGTTTATACATAGTCTGTCAAAGCTTGGGAAGATGGAAGAAGCTTTCCAGGTCTTTCATGAGCTTCAGGAGAAGGGTTTGAATCCCGATGTTTATACTTACAGCTCTCTTATCTTTGGATTTTGCAAGTCTGGTGATATGCTGAAAGCTATGAGTTTTTATGATGAGATGCAAAAAAATAGAGTTGAACCAAATGTTGTTACTTATAATGCTTTAATTGATGGATTTGGTAAGCTGGGTGATTTTGATAGCATGAGAAGGTTTTTCAAGTGCATTCAGGAGAAAGGTTTAGAACCTACCAGTGTTACTTACACTACTATGATTGATGGATTCTGTAAATCTGGAAATTTAGCTGAGGCTTTTGAGTTGTTTGATGAAATGGTGTTGAGGGGAACCGTGCCAGATCGTTTTGTTTACAATGTCTTACTTCATGGGTGTTGTAGGGCAGGGAATTTGGAGAAGGCCATGGATTTGTTTAATGAGATGCTGGCGAAGGAATTCACAGCTGAACTCACTTTTAACACTATGATTGATGGTTTCTGCAAGCTAAGGAGACTGGAAGAGGCAAGGGAATTGCTGAGGCTAATGTCGGAGAAGAAGATCATGCCTAGTAATGTGACCTACACAGCCTTGATTGATGGGTATAGCAAAGCAGGAAAATTGGAAGAGGCGCAAAATTTGTTATTGGAAATGGAGAAAAGTAACATAATGCCAAACACTGTAACGTATACATCACTTATTTATGTGTATGGTCGATTAGGTAACCTGGGAATGGTTTCTTCTTTGTTTAAAGAGATGATATCCAAGGGAGTTGTGCCTGATGAAGTAACTTATGAAGTAATGATCCATTCATATTGTAAAGAATTGGATGCAGCTGCGGCCTTAAGGTTTTGTAACAACACTTGTGCTGCAGAATTTCCTGGATTTAACCAGCAGGAAGAATTATCCAAAGCACAGGACTTGGTGAATGAACTGAAAGAGTATGAAATCAACCCTGACAACTCTGAATTTCAGATGCTATTCCATGATTTCTGCACAAAGGGGTTCATGAATGAAGCAAAACGGCTCTTAAAAGTTATGGTAGACAGAGGTTGGGTGCCTAAGAACAATACATTGCTTAGTTTAGCTGATGGATCTTTTCAGGTAGTCCCGGCTATGGAAGTCAGATATGCTTCACAGAATTAGAAAATATTGGTTACATGGATTAACTGAAAAGCAACAATTGCCATGAACATAGGAAAACTTCACAGATCAAGTGTTGAATGCCAAGCGAAAGGGCAATGGCACTAGATTATGTGAATTCTCTTTTTCAGATCAATTTCATTTGACTCTTCCTCAGAGCTGAAGTACATTACCAAGCACCATGGATGAAGATCTGGAATTATAAATATTTAGAAAATCTGAAGTGTTTTAGAACATCAACAAAACCTTTGCGCGTCCAGCATTCTTTCGGCAAGCTAACATGGTTAGTGCCCCAATGATAGTAAGAGTAAGATTTTGCCGCTTTATACTGTAGCAAATGATAAAATGTTGTTTCTTCACTTTAGAACTGCTGCATTTTTTATGCAATTATAATTTAGTTTGCATGCAATAGTTATGAGTTCCTTAAAATATTTAAAAGCTCTAGGAAAATATCATGACGTGTAACATGTTTTTAGCTCAATATGTTTACTTATTTGATGCATGGATATTATTTTAGTTTTAACTTTACGGGATTATTTTACATTCATCTGTATTTGATTGTAACTAGGAATTTCATGCCAGTTCTCTCGTGGCAATAAGTTCGGGTCTTGTTTTTGTCACTCAACTCATACAACTTCTAGGGAAAAGTATCATTTTAAGTTATTGTAATATTCTATTTTTTTTATTTTTTGCACTTTTTTTTCTCTGTATTGCCATATGAGAGTGGCTGTTGGCTTGTGCTAGGTTGCAAGTTCTTAGAATTCATTTTTTTTTCCTCTAAATGCAATATAAATCAAATGTGATGTATTTGGAATTTGGAATAAGAATTCTTTGGTTCATTGTAAAATAAGTTCATGAAATTAATTGCATTTTCATTAGTTTGGCTGATAGCTCAAATGTGGTCGTGGTCTACTAGTGCAGGAGACAGGTGTGGCTAAGAAAGGCATTGGAACAAATCCAACAGAATAATTGGTAAAACAACAAGTGAAACTGCAGAACATTAGGACCAAGATTGGAAATTACAGATCTTAACTTACATTGCATATTCTAAGTAAGTGCTCCTGTTTTTCTGATAAGTAGAATCCATAATTTTTCAAGTTGATTGTAGTAAATACGTATTTAAACTGTTAACATTTTGAATTGCTTGAGATAACAAATGGGAGCTGCAGATAGCGTGCAATTACAGTGAACATCCAACAGTATGTTAATGTAAGTGCACAATTACTAGAGGGGAAAATAATATAATAATGCATAAAAGAAGTAGATGAACAATATTATAATACAATTCTAGTGCAATACTATACCACAGTCAACAATTGGTTTGACTTCCCTATTTTTTCTACTGGATGATTTTGTATAATATTATGGTAGTATGTCTAAGTGAAAATTCTTTGCTTGTAAAATATTGTATTGGTCGTAAACCTTAGTTTGACAGATGAAGTAAAACAATACGAAATTCAGATGTGATGAGGTGATGGGAAAGTAGAAAAAATGAGAACGGTTTGAATGAGAGTATATATGGGAATGAGATTTATAGTTGTCTGACAGCCTATTGTTACTTGATAGCTGGTGTAGTCCTGCCAATGGTTGGTTTCAGATCAGGTCAAACAACATTGTTCCCATCCTTATACCCTGAAACGCCCAAGTAGAAAGAAGCTGAATGCTTGAACATCAAGGCATTTTTTGGTTTAACTGTTAAAGTTTTGACGAAAACTCTAAAGTTAAGCGTACTCATGTGGGAGTACTCATAAGATGGGTGATCTCCTAAGAAATTACCCCAATGGGACAAAATTGTGGTCATTAGATGAAAACGGATAATATCTCGATGGATGAGAGTTTGAGCTGTTACAATGGTACCAGAGCATTACAAAGCCCAATGATGGTAATTAAGTGTCATACAGAACAAAGTGTTATACCATGGGAGTCATCTCTTAAACTCTAGATGGGATAAAGTGCTACATGATAGGGGATACCTCTAGAATTGTACTGCTTGGTGGATTATTCTGGATTAAGCAATTTGATGAGGGCATCAATTACTTAAGTGGGAGAGATTGTGAAACTCCTTAAGTTGAATGAAACTGAAGTAATAAACATGGAGGCGCTTTTTGGTGTAACAATTAAGTTTTGACTGAAACTCCAAGGTTAAGTGTGCTAGTGCAGCAGCACTCTTAGGATGGATGACCTCCTCTTGGGAAGTGTTGTGGGTCCCTCCCATGTGAAGGCAATAGCCTTCATTCAACTTGGGGATCTGTTTTCCTCTATTTTGCTACGGTTACTGTTAAGGAAAAAAACATTGCTCCCGCTCCCTCGGTTTACATCAGACCCCAACTGATGCCCCTTTTTGGCTCAAAACCATTGCCTTTGTGACAGAACGTTCAAGAGACAAGTTGCAGTCTGAACTGGGAAGGCAAAAATGAGATCGCGAAGTACAAAGACCTCTGAAACTCTTGTTTTTCTTAAATTCGGCAAGATTACCAAACCTCTATGTTTGATAAAGTTAATGCATACCACCTATTTGGTGATGTTTAATAATTGATTTCCTCTAGTAGTATTATAGAGAAGAACTTTGTGTGTCCATTAAGTTGATTAGGGAAGATGTTTAAGTAGCCTACGGGTTCTGTGGTTTTTATCCAAATTGAGAGGGTTTTCGCATTAAAAATTTGGTGTTGTTTCTTCTTGTTAATTGTTTGATTAATTCAATTATGTGTGTGCTCGTGGTGAAGTGTGTTTTTGGCTAACTTTTTCCAGCAATTGGTATCAGAGACAGGTTACTCTAGGGATTATCTTGTGTTAGTCAAATGGAAGAGCCCACTAATAATAAAAATACAATGATTAAACTCACGATAACCAATTGCTTGATTTGGAAGTCACATATTGAGGGCTTGCTTTGTTATTTGGACTATGAAGAGACATTTTTGGGTGATGAGGGCACACTAATAGAAATTTCTTCTAGAATTTGCTAAGTTTAATAGAAAAGTTGTTGACAAAATTTGACAATGGGTTGATAACAATATTTATCAGCATATTGCTAAAGAGACAAATGCCAACAAGGTTTGAGAAATTCTAAGGAAGCTGCGCGAAAAGAAAAATACACATAACATGATTTTTCTTTTTAAGAAAATTGATGTATCTCATATACACTAATGAAATTGTAATTATTTATTATTTAAATATTTTTCATGGGATATTGAATCAATTAGCAACATTGGACATGAAGTTAGAAGATGAGGTCCTTGTCTTGTGTGAGCAATTCCTTACGAAATTCTTGGGAGACTCTTGTTGTTTCTCTTAGCAATTACACTTCAAATGTCATGTTTTCTTTGAAGATTGTGAAAGAGAGCCCTCGTACATCTGGAGGATCTCGTAGACGTTCTTCTCACGGATGTAGCGATAGAGGTGGACGACGAAGGTCTTTACCGAATCAGGGACAAAATTGGGATCGTAACCAAGGTCGCCACCTTATTGGCCACCCGCCGACGAGGGATAGGGACGAGAGTCGTAGGTGCCATCGTCGTAATCATAAGATGAAGCCATTGTCTCAGGAGTTACTCTTGCCTCGCTTCCCAGGAAAAATTATTCGGTCCGACCACCGCAGTGTGTTGAATGAAGAAAACAAAAGAAATGAGCAAGGGAGAACTATGCAAAAATAGGTGTTAGTTTCAAAAAAAATGGGGTAGCAACAAGAGTAGAAATCCTCGTAAAAATAATGACAAATCACGAGAAAAGTCTCAGATAATGAATGAGTTCAGATGTTTTCATTGTGACCAACCAGAACATAAGTAGACTCAATGTAGACTGTTAAAAAGATAACAAAAACAGAAACAAAAAGACAAAATAAAAATAGATGATGCTAATGCAGCATCCATCGTGGATGGGATGTCATTATTCTTTCCTAAGATCCGTCTGAATTTGATTTCCACCTGTATACTTGATGATGAAAGATATCATAACCACTTTGGTGAATGAATATGGAAGCTCACTAAGGGGTATTTGGTGGTTGCTAGAGGGAAGAAGCACAATTCTATTTATTTGATGGAGGTTCAGTCTTACGGGGAAGAAGTGAATGCAATTGATGATTCATCCATTTAACTATGACATATGCGACTCGGTCATGAGTCATAATGGTATGAAGCAACGTCCCAAAAATAAATTATTTCTAATGTGAAGTCTACAAAATTGGAGATGTGTATTCATTGTTTGGTTGTAAACAACACATAGTAGCTTTTAAAACTCTCCCACCATCTAAAAAAGCTAATATGTTGGATTTGGCGCGTAGTGATATATGTTTTATAGATGCTACAAAGTGTTCATTATTATATTACTTTCATTGACAATCATTCCAAGAGTGTATGGGCTTAGGCATTAAGATCTAAAAACCAATTTTTGGGTTTGTTCAAGTTTTTTTAGGTTTCAGTCGAGAGGGAAACTGGAAAAAAGCTAAAGTGTATCCATTTGGATAATGGTGGTGAGTATACGAGAAGTGCTGCAAAACTCACAGAATCAAATTTAAGAAGACTGGGCCAAAAACTTATTGACATGATTAAGTAGCTGAGAGGATGAATTGCACAATTAATGACAAGATTTGTTGCTTGCTATCTCATTCAAAACCTCCAAAGTGAGGAGGCTGGGAGATTAGTTGTTGATTTAATAAATCTTTCGTCTTCAGTTCCTTTGAATAATGACATATTACTGAGAGTTTGGACAATAAATGATGTTTTATATTGACACTTCAGCGTTTTTTTGGATGTTGAGCATTTGTGCATGTTCCTAGGGACGAGAGATCTATACTTGTAACTATACAAGACAATGTGATACTGGGGTTAATCAAATAACAATAGCAAAAATAAGTATTATTACTGAAAATAAATATTAGATTACAACCAAACACACTGAAATGAGAAATAAAATGAAGCACAACGCCTGACATGTGACTAGAGTGAATCTAGGGTGGCGGCGGTGGTTGTTATGGGCTTGGAAAGGTGGCAGTAAGGAAGGGAGGTGGAGCAGAGGGGCTAGTACAATAGGGAAACAACAAGTACTGGTTTTCCTGGACGACAGCATGGAGGTGAGTGGGTTGGCCGCATGGAAACAGTGGTTAGAGGGGTTTCTGGGTAACGACGACCAAGTGGGAAGGTTGAAACATCGATGAGATCAAAGATGGAGGACTAGGACAACATCGACAGGGATGGTGGAGGGCTGAAACAACAACAACCTTGAAGGTGTGAGGGCTGACCAGTAGGGACAACGAAGATGGAGGCTATAATAGTTGAACAACTGCAGGAAAACATCCACAAGCGGTTGAGCGGTTGCAACAAGGTGGGTGACAAGGAGCAATGTGGAAAGGATGGGGAAGGGTAGGAGGAAGGATAATCGGCTCCTCGAGAGTGAGATACAGTCGGAGCTACACTCGGCCCTTAAATACATCCATAGAACAGAAAACCAGAGATGTCGACGGTTGTCCCAAACATAACACGAAAGAACTACCCTAACACATGGCAAAACAACATATATATTACTATTAAAAAAATTAAAGGGGTAAGGTGATTTCCAATGTTGTGAGGATTGGCCAACCCTCCAACTCCTCTTCTGAACCTGTCCAAGTCGCGGCTATTCCCACGCTCAATTCAGAGGGGTGTTATACTCGCGTCAGTCTCCCGAGATTTGAAGAGTTTCAACTTCATTCATTAAAGCTTTTGTCTCCTTATAGTATGCAATCAAGTATGTTTCGTTGAAGGTAGTAGAAATGTTATAATCTCCCAGTAAGTCATCTCTATAGACATTGTCATTTAGCTCCTTGAGGATCCTGAAAGGACCATCTAGTCTAGACTTGAGTTTCCCAAAAGATCCCATGTGAAATATCTATTTATTTAATCTGATCCACAGTAGATCTCCCCAATACAACTCTTAATCATGTATGTCTTTCCAAAGCACAACCTGATGTAATGAATAGAAATCTTTTTTGGTCACAACCGAAGATAAAACTGCTTATAAACTTAGATTCTCACAAAGTAACTCTCGATTCGTTAAATCTATAATTTACTCGTTCTACTCCTCGTACTTGGTTAGGTGCATCATTAAACAAATTTGTATTGAGAAATCGACTCTGGAATAAAATCTGTGGCATGTCGGACATCTCTCAATAACAACCACTCAAGAGGGGTCCCTTTTTCTTTGGAAAGACCCAGATCTCATTATATGATGTTCCTTCCTACAAAGCTCATAAGGTGATTTCCAATGTTGTGATTCATCCCTGTCTGTAGGGCTGTCAAAAAAGCTCGTTGTTCGCGAACAGTTCGTGTTCGGTTCGTCAATGAGTTCGTGTTCGATTCGTTCGATAAGTAAACGAGACAAACGCGAACAAATTTTTTTTGTTCGGTTAGTTAAACGAACCAAACACGAACAGTGATGCGTTCGTTCGTGTTCGAATCGTTATTGTTTGAAATATAAAATAATATAAAATAATTATATATAAAAATTTATTATATTTTAAAACATTAAATTTTATAAATTATAATATATAATAAAATAATAATAATAATATATTAATATACTATAGTAGTAATATACTAATATAGATATTGAATATTTATATAATATAAGTTATATAATTAATATATAATATTATTTTTATATATTAATATTAGGGATGTCAAACTGGC